CCCTGACGCCCTGCGCGTAGCGCTGTCAGAGTTAATTAACGAAGCGAAGAAGCCATCTGCCGTCGTGCGCGGCGCAAAGGACGAACCTCCGCCTGCACCCGACGTGCATCAGCGCGAGTGCCGCAGCCGCAGTCGCCCTGCCAGGCGGCGAGCTGCCAAGTGCGATGAGCTTTCGGCGGCTTGCGGTGCTGTGCGGGACCTTGAGCTGGCCGTCAGCATAGCGCGCCAGTGCACCATCGAGCCGCGCGCGGGCCCCCGCCGTGAAGTCGAGGCCCTGCGGCAGGGCCTCGCCCAGCGAAGCTTCAGCGAATGGTCGAATTCGGCTCGGGTCGCCGCGATTCTGGGCAGCTGCCCGAAAACGTGGCCCAGCGTAGTCAGCGCCTTCCGCTGCTGGGCGACTTTCGCCATGACCGTGCTCGGCTGCGACGCGGGGGAAGTGATTCCGCCGTCGCCCGAGGGCCTTGCATTGTGGAGCACATGCTTCCGTTGTAAAGGAACATTCGACAACTATATTTCGCACGTCAGATTAGTCTGCATCCTGTTGCGCGTCCCGCTGGACGCGCTGAGCGACCCGGCAGTCGAGCGCGCGGCTCGCGCGGTGCAAGCGCGAAACACTTGGCAGGCCAGGCCCAAGATGTTTATTCGGGAGGCGCTCCTCGCCAGATTACTGAAGCATCTCGAACGCCACCAATCGGGGCGCGAGCTGCAGATGCTTTTCTTGACGGCGTACATATTCCTGTTGCGATTGCCGTCGGAAGCACTGCCGATGCACGTCGCTCGGGACGGCGATCCGCCGCGGGCGGTCGAGCCGAAGAGCTGCCTACGCCTGCATGACGGCTCGATCTCGCTGACGTTGCTTTGGCGCAAGAATCGCGCCACGCCGCTCACGATGACGCGCACGTGCTGGTGCGCGCGCTGTCCATCAACGTGCCCCGTGCACGCGCTGGGGAAATTCTGCGCCGACAGCGCGGCCCAGCAGCCTTTTGCGGGTTTCCGCCCGGACGCTGTCCTATCGGCGTTGAGAGCGGCCCTGCAAGAGCTCGGGGTGCCGCGGCACGATGCCTATCGCACCCACGATTTTCGTCGGGGCCACGCCCAAGACATGGCGGTGCGTGGCTCGCGGCTGGCCGACATCCTTCGCGCCGGAGATTGGCGGTCCGCCGCCTTCCTGTCATATTTAGACAGGGATGCGCTTGAGGACAGCGCCGTCAGGGAAGCGCACGGCGGCGCTTCGTCCAGCGACGAAGACAAGGACTGAGGTGGCTGTGAGCCTATAGAACACCTTCGGCGAGAACAGCGTTGGGTTTTCCTCGCGCGCAGGTGCAGCAAGGGCCTTGGGTGTCGCTGCACCCGCGCGCTCCCGCGGGGAGCGGCGAGCGACGAGTGCGCCGCTCGCCCCCCCCCGCGGGCGCGTGCCTACCCAACGCGCAGCGCTCCCCGCGCTCTCCCCCAACCCTCGGGTTTTCCAGGGTAGCGTCTTTTGTGGGCGAGAACACAACGCAGTTTTGTTCGTTGTCACAAAAACGCGGACCTGGGAACCTTCTACCCCTGCCGCCCCGCCGCTGGCGCCGCGGTTCGCCGCGGTGCCTGTGGTGGGGCGGGTTGGGTCGGTTGGGGGGTGCGTTTGGGGTGGCTCGCCTCAGGTCTTCATGGACTTCGTGTTCCTCGTCTTGTTCGTGTTCTTTGTCCACGTCTCCCTGCGGTGGGGGGAGGGTAAATATACCCCCGCGTCGCGCGCGCTGCCCCGAGGGCGCTTGTCGGCCGAACGCGAGGCTGGCGCCCTCGGTGCGCGCGTCGCGGGCCGCCGTGGCGGCTTTTGTTTCCCCTCACCCTTCGCCGCTCCTTTGGTTGGGGTGGGGCGCGGGGTGTCGCTGCACCCGCGCGCTCCCGCGGGGAGCGGCGAGCGACGAGTGCGCCGCTCGCCCCCCCCCGCGGGCGCGTGCCTACCCAACGCGCAGCGCTCCCCGCGCTCTCCCCCAACCCTCGGGTTTTCCAGGGTAGCGTCTTTTGTGGGTGATGTTGTTGTTGTGCTCGTTGTTTTTTTGTTGTTGGTGTTGTTGTTGGTGTTGTTGCTAATTATTGTTGTTGTTGTTGTTGCTGTTGCTGTTGCTGTTGTTGTTGGTGGCGGTGGTGGTGGTGTTGTAGTTGTTGCTGTTGTTGTTGTTGTTGTTGTTGGTGGTGGTGGTGGTGTTGTTGTTGTTGTTGTTGAACATTATTAATTCTAAAGAATAATTATTGTTGGGACCCCTGGTGCACGGCCCCCCTGCGCCGCCTAGGCCGCAGCTACATTTTCATCATTTTCGTGAGGAAGCCTCAGGTAATTCGATGTGATCAAGATCCGGTTGTTTTGTTCCCCCCCGCTTTCCCTTGCAAAAAACACTATAAAATGACATTTCTTGTTCTAATATAATCAAATTTCAAGAATCCCTTGCAAAAAATAAGGTAAAGTGGACATTCGCGCGCGCAAGACGAAATCCTTCCAAAACCTTAGTGTTCGCAGCGATTTTAACATAAAAACATCAAAAAACCAATGGTTTTTCAACAAAAAATTGTCAAAATCTCATCCCGCGCGCTCTTGCGGATTCGTAGGAAACCCAACACTTTTTAAACATTTCTGTCAAACGGGCTTTTGCGAGCAACTTTTTCGAACTTCTGCGACAACGGTTGCGCACCTGCCAGGGCCATCATCCCTGTCAAATAATACCATGCGGGACACATTCGTTTTTTCTTCGCGCGCGCACGCCGTCGTCGTCGGCCGCGGGGCCCTGAATAGTAGCCACGGTCGTCCGCATGCCACGAAGTGAAGTGTCCGAACGTCATAGGGCGGGAAGCTGGGTGTGGGTGGTGGCGAAGAGTCGTTTGGAAATTTGGTAGAGCTTGAACCGGCCCCCCCACAAAGTGGGGGTATTGCCCGCCTCCTATGAAAACCCTGGCACTGGTGAGAACGGAGTGTCCCCACGTGCTAGTAATTGTTGTTGTTGTTGTTGTTGTTTATCTCTTTCTCTCTCTTTCTCTCCATCGTTTTACGTATATATATATACATACGCACGCAGCTCTCTCTCTCTCTCTCTCTCTCTCTCTTCTCGCGCCTCATCCCTTCTTCCCCCTCCTGCCATCTGCCTCATCCCTCCTTCTCCCTCCCCTTCTTGCCAACTCCTTTTGCGCAGGCATTCGCCACATGAGGGCGACGAGTGGATGCTGCAACGCAAGAAGATGAAGGAAGGATAATGCTGATGATGCAGATGCTGATTATGATTTTGATGGTGATGCTGATGCTAATGATGATGATGCTGGTACTGATGATATTGATGATGATGCTGATGATGATGATGACGATGATGATGATGATGATGGTGATGGTGATGGTGATGGTGATGGTGATGGTGATGGTGATGGTGATGGTGATGAGACAGGTCCCGGGGAAGAGGAACAGTAAGAGCAAACATATTTATGAGGGTGAGGACGAGGAGAAGGATGAGCACGAGGAGGAGGAATAGCAGAGGGAACAGGGGGGGGCGAGGAGGGAGATAAGGGATGAGGGGGAACCAGCTGTTGAGGATGACGCCGGTGGTGACGATATATGAGGCGATAGTGGCATCGATGATGATTATTGCGACGCTGGCGATGATGACGATGTGGATGGGGATGCAGATGACAACGGTGACGACGATGATGACGATGACGGTGCCAACGAGGGGGATGGGGCTAATCGGGAGGAGGATGGGGTACCCAGTTGATTGGAAGGAGCAGGGAGATGAGGCGAACGTGGGCTGCAGAAGAGGCATGAGGGAAGAGGAGGAGGGCGAGGAATGAGTATCGCAGTATTTCGTCCCCCAACCATGTCAGATCTTACTGCTGCGCACACGCCCTGAGCTCGCGGAGCAACGAGATGTCATGGATAACCACGCGCACGCATTGGAAAACGAACTCCAGGAACAAAGCTCGGCTGACAAGCCCATTCTCCCAGAACAGAGCGTATGCGAAAGATCGCGGCCCAACAAGGAAATATTGTCAGCAGCACGCTGCACACCTGGAAGCAACAACCAAGCAACAGACGTTATGAAACGTCACGGCCAACCACTTGCATACAGTATTGACAGGCGATTGAGGGGACGCCCTTCACCTGATCGGGCGTGCCTCATGGTCCTCGGTGCTTGCCTCACGTTCCTCGGAGGATGAGGAGGATGAGAGAGGATGAGGAGAAGGATGGAGGAGAAACAGGAGGAGAAAGAACGCTCTGAGTTGAGGAGCCCCAAAGGTCCGCACAGACTCTTGAGTGCGTGAGCGTTCAACTCCTAATCCGAGAGCGCAGCTGAGCTTGCCGCAGGTTGCCGGGCTTGGAGCCTCGCCGTGGCTGGCTCCGCTCGGCCGCACTCGGCCAGGTCGAGCCCAGCAGTTCAATGAGGAGCGGGTGATCACAACATGGGGGTTATACAGTCGAGTTTGATTCGTAGGTCGACCCTGCCTAAACAAGGGTCCCCTTGTGTCCTGTGTTTCGCGACCCACGCCCTCAACGTTCCACTGGCAACGTGGCGACCGGAAGAGTCCTGTGTCCTCTCGCGTGTCCTCCTCCAATCCACCCCGACGGTAGGGGAACGAAGAATGACATAAACAGAAAACCTCGGAGGTCCGCGCGGATTTCTCGGATCGGCGCTCGGCCCCCCCCTGGCGGCGCCTCCGGCGCCGCCCCTGGCGCGCTCCGCGCGCCAGGGAGTGGGTGGCAAGCGCGGATCCGAGAAATCCGCGCGGACCTCCGAGTGTTTCCGTCCCCATCGGTTAAAAAATGGTTGCGTGCCGCTGGTTTCGGCCCGCCTCTGGGCGCTTTCCTCGATACCCTGGCGCCCCGGGCGCCAGTTGGCGCCGAGAGAGCCAGCTAGGGGAGCGGGTGGGCTACTTCCCCGACCCGAGTCTGAGCCGGACGAGTTCCCGCTGGGAGACCTCGCGGCTTCCAGCGCAAGACAGCATCCCCAGATGTGCTGCTTCCGTGGCCATCCCGGGAGGCTGTCGTGGAGGTCACGGCGGACAGGGCCACGGTCCAGGACGAGCTCGACGCGGCCCTGGAGTACCTCGAGAAGCTCAAGGACACCGCCGGCCCTCCTCTTGTCGGAGGACCGCCGTAAGACTCGAGTTTGGCAGAACGCCAGGTTGCCGCCGCCCTTGGGCGGCTGCGGCGTGGCAGTGGTGGCGGCCCAGGCTTCGCGAGCGGTCTTCGCAGCGAGAGAGCCCGCGTCACGCGTCACATTCCAGATGGGGTTCCGCCAGTGTGCGGGCGCCCCCGTCCGTCGCACGCACACACGTTCACACGCAAGCACGCGCGCACGCTCGCACGCACGCACGTACGCACACACAATCACACACACGCACGCACACGCACACGCACACGCACACGCACACGCACACGCACACGCACACGCACACGCACACGCACACACACATAAACACACACACACACGCACACGCACACGCACACGCACACGCACACGCACACGCACACGCACACGCACACGCACACGCACACGCACACGCACACGCACACGCACACGCACACGCACACGCACACGCACACGCACACGCACACGCACACGCACACGCACACGCACACGCACACGCACACGCACACGCACACGCACGCGCACGCGCACGCGCACACGCACGTGCACGTGCACACGCACACGCACACGCACACGCACACGCACACGCACACGCACACGCATACACACATTCATGCACACACACACGCACACGCACACGCACATGCACACGCACACACGCACACGCACACGCACACACACTTTTACGTCGGCGGCTGGGCAGAGGAAACTAATCTGGCGATCGGATCTCAACACACACACGCACACACACCTTGAGCAAGCCCAAGCCTTCCGTCTCCCCGAGCCCTCGCCTGGCGGCGCCGCCAATCCTCGGGACGAGTGCCCCCGGGCTCGCTCTGGTGGCGTCGGGCCGGGCGGCGGGCGATGGTGTGCCTCGCCCTCGCCGCGCTCCCCAGGCGCCTCGTAGGTCACATGTGACCTCGGCACCCTGTGCTCCCACTGCCCGCTGCCCTCATTTTCGCTCCCCGGTATGCCTCGTAGTGCACCCTGACCGCGGCACCCCTGGCCACCTTGCTGTGCTGCTTCCGGTTCCAGCTCGCGCTGGACCTGTTGCTCCCCTCCCTGGGCGCTTGCCCTGGCGGCCGCCCTGGCTGCTACCCCCCCCAGCTGCTGCCCCGGCGCTGCTGCTGGCCCCCGGCCCCGGCGCCCCCCCGCCGCCGCCTGGCCCCGCTCTGAGCGGTCCCGGCCTCCTCTCCCTCCCGCCCGCGCAGGCCCTTCCTCCCCCCCCCCCCCTCACGTGCATCGCGGCAGAATTCGCATTTGTATGTCCTACATGTGCTTTTTCTGCCAGCGCAGACACTCTGCCTAGCCGCCGACACAAAGCAAGTGTGTATGTGTGTGTTTCTTGGCCATTAGAGGAGGGGGCGATCGCGCCGCCCGCGCGGGCAAACCCAGGGCGGGACGAACCCACTGGTAGGCACGCGAGCGCCCCTACGCCAGATCACGCCCCTCGAGCAAGGAACGGGCCGAACGCAGGGGCGGACGCGGCGCTTTCGTCCTCCTGGCGCCCATTGCGTCGGACCGCATCGGATGGATGCACCAACGCGGGAACATTGTGTGTATGTTTGTGTGTATGTCTGTGTGTGTTCGTGTGTGTGTGTATGTGTTTGTGTGTTGTGTTTGTGTTTGCGGTTGTGTTTTTGTGGTTGTGGTTGTGGTTGTGGTTGTGGTTGTGTTTGTGGTTGTGGTTGTGGTTGTGGTTGTGTGTGTGTGTTTGTGATTGTGTCTGTGTTTGTGTTTGTGTATGTGTTTGTGTTTGTTTTTTTGTGTTTGTGCTTGTGCTTGTGCTTGTGGTTGTGATTGTGATTGAATGTGTGTTTGTGTTTGGGTTTGGGTTTGGGTTTTGTGTTTTGTGTTTGTGTGTGTTTGTGCTTGTGCTTGTGCTTGTGCTTGTGCTTGTGCTTGTGCGTGTGCTTGTGTTTGTGTTTGTGTTTGTGTTTGTGTTTGTGTGTGTTTGTGTGCGCGTGTGTGAGCCATGCGGCAATTTGCCGTCGGCTCCCGCGATTCAGTTGACTGAGTTGAAGTGGTTCCCCGTTTTCTGGCCGCTGCACGTTCGCCCGGGCTTGCAGCTCCTCTCCTCGCCCATCGCTTGCATGCTGCGGGTGGTGCTGCAGTGCGCCGCGCTGTCCACACCGCTCGGTTGCAGTCAGCACCTCCGTCTGTTGCCCGCGCCTGCGGCCCCTCCGCGCCGCCGGCCTCCAGCCATGGGTGCCGGCGTGCGCGCGCCAGTGTGCGTGCCCGTGTGCGCGGCTGCGTGCCCGCCCGAGGACATGTGCGTCGCGAAGCCCGAGACCTACGCCGAGCGCGCGGACCGCCGCGCCGCGGAGATTCTCGGCCTGAAGCAGGCTCCCGGGTCGGCCGGCGCAGGTTCGGCGCGGGGGGCCCATGGGTGTCAAGCAGTGGCGAGGCGTCCTGGCTCGCCCATAGCCCCGCCAAGCCATGTTCTAACAACCTTTCGTGGCTTCCACGAAATGTTCTTAGAACATGCCAGGCGGAGACTCTCTTGTTTTAGCACAGGGGGCTTCTATTCTAAGAACACCGTTTTCGTTCTTAGAACATGTTTGGGTTCACGCGCGGGTCGCGACAGAGGGGCGGAGGGGAGGGCAGGCTGACCCACCGCAGCTCGCCAAGCATATCACCCCCCTCTCCGCAAGGTCGCGGGGGGAACCGCGGGCAGAGGCTTGAGGCAACTGTCGGCCCCAGCGTGGCCTGGGAGCCCTCCAGGACCCTCTTGAAGGACCCCCTCGGGCCTTGTGTTGCGGACAGCCCAGAGCCCTTCAGGCCCACCCCGGAGTTTTTTGAAGGTGCCCTTTCAAAAAGGGAGCGGAGGAAAGACAGAGAGAGAGAGAGAGAGAAAAACAAAAAAAAAACAAATAACAACACACACACACATGGAAAGAGAGAAAGAGAGAGAGAGAGAGAACCAAACAACAACGAGAGACCGCGCACGTCAAAGGTGCATCGGCAAAGGTTGGAACAAACAGTGTGCAGCACTATGCCGCTGGCACTGGTCAGAGGCACTGCGTGTCAGGCCGCTGAAGTACCCCAGACGGCGTGGCAGATGCTGCAACCCTGACGGTTGCTGGGCCTTGACTGTCTCTTGCGGCGCAACATGCCGCTGAATACGTTCCACGCGGCGTCACAAGGGCGACAACGACGGCGAAAGGGGAGGAGTGAGAGGGGGAACGACGCGCGACGGAGGGCGGAGGGAGAAACAAAGAGGAACAGGCAGAGGGATGCCTGATCAATCAACAACAGTTCCTGCGATGGCGGGGCTTTTGCAACCTGACTCCCTTCCCGATCCCGCCTTCCCCTCTCCCTCCAATCTCTCTCGCCTTCTCGCCGATCTGTCTCGCCTTCTCTTCCCCTCTCTCGCAAGACGTGTAAAGCTGTTGCATCAGGCGGGACACTGTGGCACAACTGGGAGCAGGAATGTCTCGTACACGATCACATCTGACTGGGCCCCAGCCCGCCCGCGCCGCTCCCAAGGGGCCCGCCTGCGGGCGCACACGCGCGTCTCGGCTCGTCTGGTCGCTGGTGGGTGGGTGGGGGGGGTGATGGGAAGGAGGAGGAGGAGGAGGAGGAGGAGGAGGAGGAGGAGGAGGAGGAGGAGGCAGCAGGAGGAGGAGCGCAAAGGAGGCAGGAGGAGGAGGAGGAGGAGGAGGAGGAGGAGGAGGAGGAGGAGGCAGCAGGAGGAGGAGGAGGAGGGATAAGCCCATTTGGCCTCTCGCGCGTGGGCCAGCCCGCCGCGCGCGCCCAGGCCAGCCGAGCCATAGCCGTGCTGGCAGCCGCGGTGCGGGCAAGCCCGCGAGGCCAGGGCTGAGCGTGCCCAGAGCGCCAGAGTGGGCATCCACTCAGGTGCAGGTGGCCGCGTTGCATTTTCACACAGAGGAGGCCCAGGAAAACAACGAGAACTACGACGAGAGGTGCACGTACAAAGGAGCCTGCCTGGCACAGACGAGCCCGAGAGAAACGTGGAGCAGCTAGAGCATGATTACGAGTACACAAAGCTGAGGCGATACTAAAGACACACCGCTCAGCATACAAAATGGGGAGATCTCGATCTCGACGACGGGAAGACGGCCGAGCTCAGCATCAAGGAAGACATGATAATATATGGACATGCAGTCGGTGTGGACTAACAAATCCAAATAGTTCAAGAATGTGCTCATGTCAGGAAGGCGGTTCTAGAGCAAGAACACCAAGGGCACGAACACCGAAAGGAAACAAAGAAACAACTCCAGCCAGGAGGATGGCAGAAATACAGAAACTAATCGATGACACTCCAATGGCAACAGAGGCAGAAGCGTACAACACAAATGGATGGGAGCAGCCGCCAACAGATGCTGGGCAGACAAGGGCATTCAGATATTGTTCTTATGCAAAACAGACACAAGTTGCGATGGCGGTCAACGCGGCGGAAAAAGCAGGAATACAATTAACGAATGAGCGCCAGGTTATCGCACTGATCAATTATATGTTGGACATCATGAAGCCAGCATCAGCTCGAGCTGAAGGCCACCGAAAGAATGTGGACCGCATCAGAGATAAGTTGAAGACCCTCAAGGAGGACCAGGAGAACACCACCAACAAGATTGAGGACATGGAGCACCAGCTGGACAGAGCAACAGATGCACTCCATGCCGCGGTTCGTGAAAGAGATGGAGAAGAAGAACAGGCATATCATGAAAGCGTAGAAGATGAAGGAATTGCAGAATACATTAGGGCCTTAATGGGCATAGAACCAATATTCAAAGCACCTGCGCAAGATAGACCACCTATACGTCGACACCCAGCAGGAAGCGCAGGATCTCAAGGACGAGACATAAACATCAATACTCCTGGTGAAATGGCATCCAGCCATCAGATACAACAGTTAATGGAAATGGATTACCAGCAGCAAGCGCAGCATGGAATTCTTCAGGCGCAGGTTGGGAAAGCTATGGAGGTTGCGCAGCAGGTGCAGGTGGAAAGTATACAGCAGCAGCAAGCATCATTTCAGCAATTGGCGACACAGAAATACCACATGGACCAGATAATGCAGAAGCACCCAGGGGAATGGTCACCAGCTACATTCCCGTCACAAGAAGTGGCACGACCAGCAGCATCCTCAGTGTACACACAACCAAGGACGACAGCAAGAGCATAACAACAAAAATACAAAGATGTGGCATCACGGGTGCATGAAGAAGCAAAACGTCAAAAGAAGAACGAGATGTCTGACAACGACAACAAGTACGAGCCCATCATCCAGGATGTTGACAGATATTTTTTTTAAGAAGAAAAATTAGAGGAAACAGAGAAAAAAAACAACAAGGCGTGCAGAACCTGAGATTGCGGAGGAAATGGAGATGGAGGAAAAGCCTCAAGATGTCAGGATACGACAACCTGGAATACCAAGCCCACAGATCATATCGCATATGGAAATTGGAGAAGATCACGAAGCGTTGCGAAGGAGGGTTGGATCAAACACAGAATCGATACCAGCAGGGCAACCTGACCCAGAAGATCGTGCTTGTGATCCTACCGAAGTGGCAACAGATGGAGAAGACGAACCACAAAAGGCAAACATCATGGCTGGAGTGGAAAATACGAGCAAACGTGCGACGCCGCCAGGACCGTCGGAACCCATGACCCCGATCACACCAACAGAACCATTTGAAATATCGGTGGCAGTGGCAGATCAGAGGTGCAGTCCGAGAACACCGAGTTCGCCAACGCCAACGCGTCGCACGTCGAGAGACAGGAGATCATCTAGAGAACCACCGTCAGGAGCAAGTCCGAGGAAGCCAGAAGTGTACACCATGGCAGAGGGTGACACACCGCCACGTTTTCGAGAACGAGCGGAATCAGTACCACGTTTCGGAGCTTTTCGCGGAGAAGATAGCAGCAAGTCAGGAAGGCCACCACCATCGAGGATTTCAAAGTCAGCAATGCTCCCATTCGGGAGATTTGGAAGGACGCGCACAGCAGGAGTTGGTGAACGGCCAGCTTCCCGTGGGCGCAAGATCGATGGAAAAGAGGCCAGCCGCTGAGGGCGGCAAACAGGTCCATTCCGGGCCAACACAGTGCGTGGAATTTGAAGTTGGAAGCAGTTGTAAGTCAATGCGCGAAGCATCACCCGCGTGTGCACGATCAACCGCGATGACTTCCAGTATAGATAGGATGGTAGCGAGCCCTGCGGCTGCTGCACGAAACCATGCTAGTACATCATGCGCTTCATACCTCTCTGAGAGTGGGTTGCCAGATGAAGGTATGCGATCCGTCGGATTAGCCGATGTTACAGATCCAGCGCGCAAATCTGACCTTCAGCAAGCAAAAGCAAGTCCATCCCTGCCACGATCCTGGAACCCCCCTTCTTGGCTCGACCAGGAGGCACCGTGGCAGAAGGCGGAGGTGAACCCATTCCTCGGCCGTGAAGGACAGGCTGAGATGCAAGTACAACCTGCAGGGCAAACCACGGGATCTTTTTCAGCATCAAAGTGGAAGCGGATCGTCAAAAGTACCCGGGACCGCGCACAACGAGTAGAGCAAGCATCACATGAAGCAGGGCAGATGCCAAAGGATGACCCACATCGAGCAGATCACATACGATGTGACGCTGAAATACCTGAACCAATCACGGAAAGAATGCGCCGAGTACCAGCGAAAATAAGATTGTATGAGTGTCATGGCGACATGCACATACACGGGTACGCCAGGATGGCAATCAAGATGACCAAGTACACAGAGGTTGATCCGTTCAACTACCACATATACACAGATGCATCGGTCCCTGGAGAGAAGACGGCAGCTGCATGGTCAATGGCACTAATAGCCGAGAGTGAAGATGATTTCCATTTTCATGGACAGATTGGACACTTGATCAGTGGAAGTACGGCGTTAGCGATAGACTGCAATCCATTGGATTCCACACAAGCAGAACTGGTGGCAATAAATTGGGCACTCATATTGGCGACTCAGCTCGAGGCAGATGTCAGCGCGAGCATATGCACGGACTCCAAAAGCGCGATCGACATTATTACGACAGCGACATCGAAGGCAGACCCCATATCTATCTTGGCAATCAGCACGTGAAATGCGGTCAAACAGAAGAGGCACATATACATAAAGCACGCAAAGGCGCACGTGGGACAACCATGGAACGATTTACGCGACAGTGTTGCCAAGCACCACACAAAGAAGTACCATAATATCGACGAGATCATTAACGTGGATGACGAATGCTTATTGCCAGATAGGATAGTGGCAGAACTACAAGTATGCGAGCATACACGCTGGGCAGTATTACGAGATCCCGAATATCGTGACGCACATGCATGCCCGAGCACCACTGCGGAAGGAT